AAAAAAAAAAACATTGAATAATAATAGATCAGAAACATCTGGGTTAAATCCAAGGGATATAGCACATGTAAAATGTTTTAGAAGACAAACATATGACTGTACAATGCTAGATATTTAAATATACGAGTTAGATTTTCTATAATTAATTGTAATCTTGAAGAAAACTTACCACACTTGCTCCTCTTCCACTCTGACTCGCGATACCGGATTGAGGTTGAGGACTATTTGTTTGAGGACTTTGAGCGAGTAATGGTCTATCTGCTGCTGTCTATAATAACATGTGTATTAAAATTAAAATTATGTTACATATATTATTATAGAAAAAGAGAAAAAAAAGTAAATGGTGAAGATGAAGAAGAGAGCAAAAATTTTTGCAAGATTATAATAATATTTCATATTATTATGTATAATTTTCATAATCAAAAAATATATATATCAAAATATATATATGTTTAATAAAACATATATATGCACATTAAACTAACTAACCTGAATAACTAAGAAACTAGTTGGTTGTACTGGTTCTGGTTCTGGTTGTTTATTCAAATTTATAATATCGAATTCACATTCATCTTCTAACCAGGATGGGAGTTCGAGTAATAATGATATATTCATTTCTTGTACTTCTCGAGGAGTTGCCAAGGCCATTAAACCTGGATTTACCTAGATTATTGATGAGTGGTAAGCAATTTTTATTCAATCAAATCATTTCAATAAAATAGAATATAAATATTGATCAAACCTGATTTAGGCAAAAGGCACTAATGCTATCTTGTTCTTTGTGAATAATTCGAACAGGTTCTGGTAAACTGGTAGTTCCGCTATCGCTTCCTTTGTCATCTACAGTTCCACGATTCAAATTATCCATTGTCGTTTGATTGTTCTCCAAAATCGACGATAAAGATCTACGTTTGCCGAATACAGCTCGAATAAAAATGTCTTGTACTGGTTCTTGTCGAACTAAATAACACCACAATCGATTAGCAGGAGCCGCTGATGCCAAACGTGTACTAAATATAAAGAATAAAACATTCATAAATTATCACGTTTCAATTCAAACTGTTGATTCCAATTAGATTTCTAAGTTTCTTGATTTACAATCTTACTTGAAAGGAGTATTGCTTTTTTCAAGTAAAGATCGATATTTATGAATCGCTGGCTTTCCCGGGGTAGGCGTTGGATCTGGTGCACAACCAGGAATGTAATTAATTGGTGGCCCTCTGTTGTCCAATTCTTCACGCAATGTTTCTTGCCATTGCGCTACGACAGCTAACGTTCCATGAATTAGAGGACTGTTCACAGGTAATTCTAATATAAAGAAAAAAAAAAAGATAAATTGAATTTTATAATATATAAAATATTTTTTTATAAAATATTTTTATTATAAAATATTTTTCATTGATGATTCTATCAAATATTAAAATAAAATACCTTGCATTTCTATACCAGCAACATTTAAAAACTCCTGAAGTTGTTGTTGCAATATTTTGACTATAGCTAATCTCATGACACACCAACTGTATGAATTTGGATTTATATGTTCAATGTTGTCCTTTGGTTTATTCTTTGGTTTTGAATTGGTGTCGAATACATCTTCCTCGTCTTCAGAAGAATCTAAATCTGACACTGCGGAATCAGAAGAATCGTAATCGATTTCATCTGCATATTCTCTATCTATTTGTGGCTATTAAATAGATAAAAATTTCAATTGTTAAATTAAAATTAATATTGGGAAATAACTATTATTTATATTAAATAACTTACTTTCATTAAAAAGTATGATATCATGCTCATTTGAGGAGAAACAAATTGTTCTCTGTACGTGGGTTTATCTTCTTTCATATTTGGTTGTTGACCAGTAAATTGTCCTAATAATTTCATATTTAATTTTACACGTTGTTTAGTTAACGACGTCATAGTATTCCATACAGTTCCTGCAGTACTTTGTGCTTCATTTGTACTATCACTTCTTTCTATTGCTCCTACTACTCCACTCGTCTAAATTAAATTTAGATTGTACATATATACTTAAAGAGTTAATATTATTTAAAATTATATTTTAATATTTTTGGTTAATTTCGTTTCTATAGAATGTAAAGATTCACGAATTAAAGAAATTTATACAAATGATTAAAAACAATACAAATACAAAATATAATAAAAACATTAATAATATTTAATAAATTATATAGAATTTAATTTATACAAAATATAAATAGTGTAATTTATATAAAATACAAATGTATTAATATAGCATAAAAAAGAAAAAAATAAATAAACGGAACTATACCTGACCACTTGTGCTTGCGACACGCAACAATTTTTTGACTCCACCTCCAAATAAACAGGACCAAGTGTTGTTACCAAAATGTTGACCTACGAGTCTATAAAGTATATGACTATCACAACTCCACAATGCATAAACAAATAAGCTCATATAAGTTGCTACGAAAGCTTCGCAAAGAAGAATATTCAATTTTGGTGTATCCTCATCTTTTTCACGAGCTAACAATGCTCGCAAATTAGTTACACCTGGCCATTTAGAAGGAGATGTAGTAATGCATACACCATCATCTGTTGAATATCTCCGATGAAATCGATTTGATGCTACTAAATGTCCACCGGAAAATGTTTCTATTTCTGCAAATGCTGGAAAACTTTACAAAAGAAAAAAGACAAAAGATAAAATCGATTTTATGATTAAATATAATTTTAAGATTTTCTTATGAATTTTATGATTTATTAAATTTACCTATCTGGCTGTTGATGTTTTGTAACAAAAGTATCAGAATCACAAAGTGATTGATAAATACAAGCACTTAAAGCCACCGCTAAATCTCTCATTATAAATACTTCGCAATAATGTGTATTTCTTGAAGGCATTGGTGGATTACGTAATTCAACCAATGTTTGTAACATATCGTGAGCTAGAGACTGCAAAAAAAAATTTAATATCAGATTTATTGAAAAATTTTTTCTGTCTTTAATTTATCATTATATTATACTAACTTGCAAATGTCTGACAGGATCTGCCACAACAGTTTTATTGCATGCTACACTAGCACTTAGAAGAGGAAGAGTAGTTGGAAATGGAAGAGGGCTGAGTAATTGTTGTTGAGTTTTTTCTTGCTGTAATTCTTGTAATAAAAGAACAAGTTCCATTCTTACAGATGCTAAACCACCACCAGATGCTCCGTGCAAAGAGCAGTAGGATAATAATGTTCGTAATAATGTTTCGTTTGCTATAAATACATACAATATGATATGATATAATATATCATATTAGCCATGCATGTGATTTCACTAAAACTAACTTATATTTAAATATAAGATTTTGATAAAAAAAACTTAAGTTTTGGGAATATATATATATAAATACATTGATGGAATACCTTTTAACCATTTTTTTCTTTTAGCAGCTCGTTGTACTTTAGCTTCGAAATCTAATTTTTCGGCCATCAATATTTCATGTAAAGTTGGCTGTTCACCAGGCTTACATGGTTGTATATCATCCACCATACCCCCTTCGTCTGAAAATATAATTATTTTATCATTTTAAAACAGTATGAATTAAATCAATATTATCAAAAATCATGTAATATGTTATCAAAAGCTAATAAGCTTTTTCTTACATTCTGAGACATTGTTTGCATCTCCGTCCGAACTGACGCTATAATTACAAAGCTGTCTAAGAGCATCTACTTCTCGTTCGAGCCATACATATAGTTGGTATCGAAGTTGACCTCCATCTACTTCGAAACCCGTTGCTAATGTTGATAATTCTTCCATTAAAATTTTTAAACATGCTACAAATTTTAATTGTTGTGCCATAATATCTAATTGTCCTGATGATTTAATGAGTTTATCTGAAAAAGTTTGAAATATAAATATTACTAAATCTTTCTGTTAAAAATAAATCAAAAAAGTAAATAAATAAATTATATTAGCTACCATCAATAGTTTCTTTTTTATCTAGTTTCATACTTAAAGGCGGACTATCACCGTCATCGTTTTCAATTTCATCATTATCATCCCAATTTAATACTAATTCATCCTCGGTTTGACGTGTCACAGGTTGAGACCAATCAAAATCTAAAATATTAGAAATAAGTTAAATAAACTTTTTTTTCTTATCTATCTAAATGAGAAAAAAATTATAGAGAATTAAAAAATTTTACCTCCATCATCATTGATTTTTTTTGCATTATCATCCCAACTAATAATTCCAGTATCTATTTGGAAATCTTGTGTTCTCGATTTACTTGGACTATTTAACAGACCTAAAAAATCCATGGTATTCATAAATTTTGGTATTCAAAAAAATTGCAAAAATATGAGTTACATACTAGGAGAATCTTCGCAATTTGTCTCCATCACTTTATTAGGTAACTTAGATAAAACCTCAAGAGCAAGAGCAGGACATCCTGCCTTAAAATGTGCGTGTGCTGTTGTGAAGTACAGTTGTCTTTCCAAAGGTGTAATACTATCTTCTAAAGTTAATTGTTTGTCAGGTTGTGATTTTATATCTGTACCATAACTGAACCCAGATATGACTACTGAATGACCTTTTTTCTTATCTTGAGCAGTAGATGCAATATATTGTCTGATCAGTAATGGATGCGTTCGAAGATAAACATAAAAATTGAAAACATTTGGATTTGCTGAAATAAAAAAATAAATGATAACAATGTAAATATAATGAATAATATTATAATGAATAATATTTTTTTAGAAAAAAATTAATATATCAATTATATAATTACTTGAATTTTTTACAAAACAAGATAAAGAGAAAAAATGAAAATAAAAGAGAAAAAATGAAAATAAAGAAAAAAAAATAAGTTATTAGATATATTTTATTACCTGTTGCACCTTCTGGTTTATCAGATTCATCATTATACTGTGGATGTAAAGTTCCAACATTTGTTATCAACAAAGTATTCAGTGATCCTGCATAATCTTTAAGAATCCAAAGAGCCATACTACGTAAAAATGGATCTGGATGAACTTTGTTAATATCTTGATTTTGTCCATCTTTATCACAACCTAAAATTTCTTCATAGAGCAATCTTCTCAAATTCGGAGAATTAGTATCATCATCATAAAGTCTAGCAATAACCATTGCTAATTGTATATCGTTCAATTTATTTAAACATACGTCGATAGCATCTTTGAGTGCATTTGCTAATAAGAAAAATGCTGCAGCATGTTCAAATCTTTGTTTACCAAGTAGAGCAAATGCATTTTTCAAGGCAGCTTTTCTCCAACGATCTTCCGTAAAATTATTTGCAAAGAAAGTTGTCATTCTTTCATCTCGTTTATTTCTAAACAATCCCCAAACGAGATTTTTCTTTTTCATAGCCAAATAATAAAGTGCGGAATCGAGAGGATCTTGTTTCTGTTGATATGCTGCTTTGGCAATTTTCTCAACACATCTTTTCAATATAGTGTTATTTCTAATCCACCAACCTATACCAAGTTCCTTTAAAATGCTCCATTTAGGTTGTCCTTTTGCATAAGAAGGTATTAAACCTAATAATTCTTCTTCAGATTCGGAATGAAACGCCCAAACAAGATTATTCGATGAAATACCTTGTTTCTGAAACTGTGCTCTTTGTGCTAATGGGAGACAACGAATCAAATAATTGTAATGCTTCATGGCCAATAAAAATCGAAGGCCACAATCATCTAACGAATCAGTTGAGACTGTTTCACCATCAGGAATACCAGTCAAATTTTCTTTCGCAATTGCATTCTTTGCAGCATCTATTGCAAATCTTTCCGCAAAATCTACATTACAAGTGGAAACGGTATCAGCTAAAGCAAGCAAATGCATCTGATCAAGACTTGATAAACCGGGCAAATGAGTATGTGTTAATAACCGTGATAATAATCTTCCTTGTCTTGGTCCGAAATGAGATATTCCTTGTCTTTCCGGCACTGATGAACGTCTATCTTTTTGTCGTGAACAATCATAATCCTCTTCTAACATGTCATCTAGTGACTCACCTTCGTCCAAATTACTATCAAATAATTCATTGTAATCTTGTTTGTCTTCAGTTTTGTGTTGAAGCGGTACATTTGTTTCTTTGTCTGCAATCAATAAAGTCCAAAGAGGCAATGGAGATATTGAAGTTATCTCTGCATAATCTAACGTAAGTTCTTCTGGTATCTGTGTAGTTGAACCTCTTGGTTCTAGAGGTGATGTTGTACCTACGTAACTAACTGACATTGTTCTAGAACGTGACCATCCACCGCCACGTTGTTTCACTAAATTCTCATCATCAGCTCTTAAAGAACAAGAACTTCCTATGCATCGGACAAGATGTGCCAATATAGCTTTTACCCATCGAATTTTACCAGAATTTAGCAATTCCATTAATTGTTTTGGATGATATTGGGGTAAAACGGGACAAGCGATTCTCGATGCCTCGAATAAACCATAATCCGGCATGTAGTCAAAACTTAAATTTTCATTTTGTATTCCACGTTTCTTTTTAGCGTCAAGCATTGTTAAATTAATACTGCTAACTCGAGAAAGATGAGGCATGGAAGATACATTTGCTAATCGTCTCTGTGATGTTTCGTGTGCTAACGTTCGCAGATCCTCATCCCGTAAATTTCGACTAGCTTGAAATTCATCCGATTCTTGATGTTGTAAATTTGAATGAAAACAATCTTTTTTCGGATTTGGCTTCCATTGTGAGTAAACATGCATCTCTGAATCCATGCCAACCACTAAAATACCATCCCTTACCCAAGATATTTGCATCGGCAATGGAGGTAGGCCATCTGCTGTGGTTAACTCAATTTTTCGTAATTTCATCCATCGAATTTCGTCAACGAATTGAGGCTGTGCCAATGATGAAGCTTTCCGTAATATCGGTCGGTTATTGCTTTGTGATTCTTTCATTGCTTTCATATTTGCTTGTGCAAGATCTGAACATACAGGCGTGAAAAGCATAATTTTCGATCCAACGGCAACGGTCAATATATGAGAACCATCTTCTTTGGACACCCAATCTAATTGAACTAAATGTTTTTGTGTAAGTGGACAAGTATTACCATTTTCTATGATCGATTTTCGCAATGATTGAAGCGTGCTGAATGATGGAACAGCCAATAAACCTGCATTTGGTTTCGTACTTTCTCCATTTTCTCCATTTCTCGATGATCTTACATCCTCGTGACTAAGCGTTTGTAAAACTTGAGTAAGTCTCTGTTTCTTTTGTAAAAATTTGCTATCATAAAGATAGCTTAAATCCAAATGCTGATCAACAGGAATTCTCGGTAAATGTATATTCTTTAAATGGATGGTATCTTCTAGAATCCATTCACTTCCACCAGTACTTTCGCATTCATATATAGCAACGCATAGATTTACGTATCGAGAATCGGGATCATTTTTAGTAGGACGTGTAAACGATTTTCCATATTTATACGCACATGCGATACGTCCACTATATGCAGCACTTATATTTAATGGTTGTCCGGTAATGTCAATAGTTGATTCTTGATCTTTTCGTATCATTTCCCATTCGCACCATTCATAATGTAATTTGGTGTTTGATTGAGTTTTTGTCACTTTACATTTCCAAAAGCGTATAGTACTATCGCTACATGCTGTTACAACGATATATGGTGCAAAACAAGCAGGATAAATGGAAGAGCTGCTTAAATGTCCAGCTGCTGGTGCTGCATGTATTACTTCAACACTATCTGGTAATGGTAATTCTTGAGTACATACTTTTGTAGTAGTAATAAGAACATGACTATTTTGAGGTCGCCTTTGCAAAAACATATCCAATTCACTTTGACTGTCACGACGAGATTGACTTGGCCTTCGAGATCTTTTACCTTCTGGATGATTATAACGTCCAGGTGTTCCCTCTTCATCTTCATCTTGTACTAAATGAGAATCCGGAACATACATCATCGATTCTGATAAACCAGTAGTCTCAGGTTGAGAAGCAATCACTAAACGCCACATATGTACTGTTGTACCTTGTTGTGTTCTTTCTAAAACTACTATGTAGAATGGCTCTTCGAAAATTGCAGATTGCTGTAAATCAACCATAGCATCCAAAGTAGATTCCATTAAACCTAAATCATTTATTGATGTATCTATTCCTGTTTGTTTTTCGTCATTTCTATCTCCAGTAATTAATTGTTCTTGAAATACATGTAAAAATTGTGTATTTTGCCAATCATGTGTAGCATCAGCAATAGCATCCAATTGAATAACGCAACCTGGTCTAGCTGTAGATTGTTGAGATACTATCTTTATCCTATCATGGATTGATTGTCTTACACCATCATCTGATGACATGTCTGTTGAAAGGCTTGCCATAGAATCCATCATTCTACTTCGTCTTTCACTAATTGATACTTCTGCCAATAATGTTCTAGCATCGATAACAGCTTGATATACTCTTAAACATTCGCCATCGCTAGCAACGAAACATGCACTTGGAGAATTTGATAAATTACCTAAAGTAGTACTTGGTAAAAGAGTTGGAATCCATGCTACATTACAGAATGCTGAGATTTCAGGGGAATTAATACGTGCTAATTCGGAAACTCCACCGCTCTTTGATAAAGGTCCAACTGTATCTACACGCCATAATATTAATTCACTACAGAAACCAGTAGATGAGATATCTTTTAAAGTTGTTTTACTAGAATCTGATTTATTAATAACGTTTTCATTTGAATCAGCATTTCGACATTGAGATCCAGATTCTGGTATATTGTGATGCGATGTTGTTACTAATAAAGGCAAAACTGGATGACAAGTAATATCGTTCACTCGAAATCGATGTCCTGAAGCTCTTGATGCATGTCCAATACTTAACACTTGTGAAAATTTTGTTTTATCAGCAAATGTTAATTGCCATAAATTTAAGGTTCCATTTGAATGCTTTGATACCATAGATACAATTGGACTTGGGTGAGTCAATAAATCATTAACCGTTTCTTGATTTGTTTTTCCACTTTCTAAATGACCATCTTTTTCTTTTACGATATTTTGATTTGGATCAGACGAATTTTCAATATTTTTTAAGAGTTCCTGGCCTGCTTTTGATGTTAATGTTGATTGTTCTTCATCTTGTTCAATTAAACTCGGTAATGGTGTCGCAATATCAGTAGTTTCGTTTGATGGTTTTGTGGATGATTTTGCTACTTCTCGTATATTTAATAATGGACCGCCAGTATTGTGCGAATACATTGATACGCTATGACTCATTGTAGAAGCATCGCCAAGAGGAAATGCATTAGGTATTCGTGTAGAAAATGATATTTGTGCTTGTCGAAATGATCCTGGATGATATTCATCCAACCATTCAATATGCCAAATTAAAAAACTTCCATCTATTGGATGGATTGAAAAGAGTAAATCTGGATTATGATGCCAATCGCGCAATAAGGTTTCTATTTTTGTATCTAAGGAATCTGGAGCATGATTTATTGAGGCCGTTACATCTGTCGCAATTGAATTAATGGATGTAGTATTGCTGTAAGAAAAAGAAAAAGAAGAAATTTGAAAGTTTCTCTTGTAAATCAATGAATTTTGATCTAATAATATAATATTAAATACATATAATAGAAAAAATATTTTTGGATACTTAAGAATATTATACCTGAGGCTTTGGTGAGAATGTGCACTATGTGGTAAACTATGATGCGATGAAATTGTATGAGTTGTATGATGTTCGTCGCTACTATGATCTTCTTGACTCATCGATCGAATTGTACCACTTGTCTTTTGAATGGGTTGTAATCTTACTCCTTTTTCTATAATTATACGCAATTATTGAATTATTTAATATTTTTGTGAAATGTAAAATATATATTAAATATGGAAAACATACTGGATAAACCTTCTTCTTCAGAATCATGTTCCATATGATCTACATCTTGTTGATGCAATCCTTCTTCTTTTTCTACCACTTTACGAGTAAGTTCTTGTAAAATACTTTCTGCCTGCATTGTAAAATGCATTTCTTTATTGTTTAACCAATGTAAAATAAAATTTGGTTCTCTTTCAGGATCGCCTGTGATTAAGCTTGGTACTAATGGTATATCTATAATAGTCAACAAATATTATTGACATGATTGTTAATCTAATATAATATGATTATATATAATCATCATACCAGTTTCGGCATTAATACTTGCTGCTAAATGAAAATGCATTCCTGGATAGTGACTTGTCCCCTGATAATTATTGTGGAAATCATGAACTGAATATGTTGATGGTAAAGTTGGTAAAGTTGGTGCTGTATGACCTGCTTGATGTTGCTGTTTTGCATGGCGACGGATATGAAAACAAGTCCTACAAAAAATATATATCCCATTTTATGAATAAAATATAAATATAACTTCGATATTTCACGCACTTCATATGTTTGAGGCGTTGCATGAATCGATGTTTATGCATGTTATGATGTCTATGTTTTCCATGATGACCATGTCTATCAGAACCTTCAAATTGACTCATATTTGCTAAGCCTTCTACTTCGGGAGGTATAGTTTCTGCCCATACTCGACAAATATTATCTCTACAAGATGTAACCAGCATATTGGAAACAGATCCTCTAGAAGAAAATCAAATCCTGTATTAATTCAAATGCAATAATTAATTAAACAATAATTAGTTAATGTAAAAATTTTTTTACATACTTTGGCATATATTTACTAGTTTTACGCCAAGATAAATGTGTTACTGCACGAGGATGAGCAACATAAACAAAACTATAACTGTCATTACCCATAGACTGAGTGACATTTGTGTGATCTATATTTCTTGTAGAAAACACTGAATAATTTTAAATATATTTGTATTAGAATCATTGTTAAGGTAATTTATAAAATTAAAGTATTTTATTTTTGTTATGCATATAAAAATCTTACATTGTTTGTTTTCAAACCATATTTTTACTAATCTATCATTAAATCCAGTTGTTGCGAATAATGTACCATCTGGACTAAAACTCATAAGATGTACTGGTGTAGCTGTACGACATTTCCAAACACAATTCCATGCTCCAGGTTCATTTCCACTATTGGAATCACCAGGAGCTGGACTTTCAGCATCTCCAATTGAAAAAGTAACTGTACCAGCTGAAAAAAAATTGATTTTATTTTATTTATATAATTATATATGTTTATTTAATTTTGAAAAATACAAAATAAATAAATATATCAGATAATTTTTTTCTCTTTTAAATATTGGAATATAAGGAAAATAATATTTTAAGGCTTTTTATATTATATTATAGCATGAAGGTGTAACAGCATCAAGCTAGAGTGTTTAGAACATACTCGATTGCAAAAAGCAATTTTTTTTTAAATTATTGTGTATAAAAGAGCAAAGTGATAAATTTTAATTTTAAAATATATATTTAAAATATAATGCTATTTGTTAAATAATTTTTGCAAAATCAAAGCTTATGAAAATTAAATTCAAACATTATTTTTCACATCTGTATATACTTTTCCTAAATAACAAAACTCACGGTCTTGTAGAATATTTGAAGTATTTTCTTCATGGCCAGTTATAATACTTTCTTGAGGCCGTAACATACTTATCTTCATCACTATACATAATTTTATTATTGTGATAAAACACAAAAATATATTATATACAATCAATAAATAAAATTAAAAGAATTACTAATAATTATTAAATATAAATTAAATACAATTAAAAAGAAAGACTTACTATGTTCTTCTTGAAATGGGGTTATATTTTGATGCCACAATTGTAAAAGTTCTCCACCAGTTAATAATCTTGTTCCTTCTAAATTCCATGATAATGAACTAATATTTGATTCTGTTGTTAGACTACCAGTTTGAACCCATCTATATTCTAACTGCTATAAGTTATATAAAAAAATTAGTATATAAAATAATAAAATATATAAGGATAATTATTAAAATTAAATGTAACAAAATAAAAAATACATACATGAGAACATGTACTATGAATAAGAGGAGTAGGCTCAAAAATGCAAACTTGATTTTCATAAGCTGCAGCTATTTTTCCTGTGTCAGTACTGCAATCCAAACAACTGATTCTTATGTAGTTATGTACAGCTCCAGGTATTATTTGAACTCGTTCAAAATTACTGGCCAAAATTACTATATTACAACCAGCTGCATATGCCTGCAATAATTCATTCTTTTATAGTATTAAAGAAAGTTTATAAATATTTAATAATAATATTGATAATTATATTGTATATAAAATCATTTGTATAAAAATATATAAAATAAATATTAAAAAATATTTGATTTTATATGAAAATAATAAAAATTCTATAATTATATTCATAATCATTAACAATTAAAATTATACAACAAATTAATAATAATTTAATACAAAATATATTAATTTAATTATATATAAACTTGAAAATTTGAAAATGTTTCACAAATTTTTTAGAATATGAAATATATTGAACGATATGAACATAAAATATAATAATCACATATGTTAATAAATGGTTAATATCAAAACCGGATCAATAATGAAAAAAGTCAATTAAATCAAAAATTACTTACAGTAAAAGAAATTCCTTCGACAGAACCTACAGCGTAGCACCGATCACCTGCATTGCAAGCTCCACTTAATATTTGATGACAATTCATTTTTTCAATCAAATATTAGATCATCCTTTGTTAAATTGATTTTTTTATTGGATAAATTGATTTTGTTAACTTTGGCTAACCGTTTTTAAGAAATTTTTGTAAGCTACAACGTCAAAATGCTATCCGAAAGTGACATCACACGGCAGTATCTTGCTCGATTAGCAGCCATCTTTAAATGGATTTTCTCAATACGATGCAACACTTAAGTATATTTGTATTTATTACGTGGTGTATGTATGTGTATGTACATATATATGTATGTATATATTGTCATCTGATCATAGAGTACCAATAGAAGAATTTAAAATATTTAATTCTATTAATTTTATATTATTAGATTTCAAGTTTTATGCTTCAGTAAGATATTCAACATATAATATATATTTGAATCTTTATTCATTTTCTTCAGATTTTATGTTTATATTTTATATATATATTTAAAATATTATATGTACATATACTTACATATATAAATGGAATTACAAAAATAATTTAATAATTTTATACGTACAATTTTTATTTTTTAAATATTTGTAATGTATATAATTTATATTCATAATAAACATTTTTAATTTTTTTATTTTATTTTAAAATTTAAATATTTTTTTTTAAATTAGAAATTTACTTATTCTTTTTTTAAAAAATTAAGAAAAATCTAAGAAAAAA